TGTTCTTAAGAGCAAAAGAAGCTAATGGATGGCCAGACAATAGAAGAGTAGCAATTGCAGCAGGAATGTTAAGGGAAAAAGCAGCTGACTGGTATAACTTAGTAAGCGTTACAATTAACAGATAGGATGGAGATACAAATACAGGATTCAGGGAAAGATTCCTAGCATGTTTCTCATCACAAGAAAAATTACATAGATGGCAATATGAACTAATGAATCTGAAACAAGGAAATGAAAAGGTTGAGACTTATGCATCTAGATTTAAGAAGCTAGCAAACAAAATAAATGCAGGAGGAATTCCAGACGCCTTTAAAGTATGAATGTTCTTAAGTAGATTGAATAAGGAACTAGTAACTTTAGTTGCAATTCAAAACCCAGCTAATTTAGATGCTGCCATTACTCAAGCTAAAACTGTTGAAGTAGAAAGATATTATGCAACAGACTATGATTTTAATAAGCTAAAAGTCAAAGATGATATTGAAAAATTGTTCAAACAATTCGAACAAATGGCTCTGAACCAAGTAAATATTATAGCCACGTTGACTACTAATCTAGCTGAAAAAAAAGCTACAATCCTGAAGGCAAACTAAGAAAGGAATTAATCTGTTTCAGATGCGGAGAAAAAGGTCATATAGCCAGACGATGTCTCTCAGAAAAGGTTTTACCACAGGATAACTGGAGAACCAGAAATGGTAACCAAAATAGAAAGGAAGTAAATATGCTTGAACAGGAAGTCTACCCAGCGATTAGGAAGAAGAGATCAGAATTGCAAAGAGAAACTAATACCAGACGAACTCGATCTCAAACAATTAATGAACCAATGGAAATAATTGAGCAAATACCTCAAACAGTAGTAGACAATACTACTAAGCCTAGGAAGAGAATATCTAGAGGACCATCACTTTTAGATAATATTAAACCTTATAACATTTGGGACGACCTCATAAACATTAAAGCTAATGTTAATATGAGACAAATGATGCAATTCAGAGTGTAACAACAAAAACTCCTTTAAGGGATGAGAAGATCTAAATTAGAAGGAAATGCAGCATTTACTAGTACAACAGAAGAAGAAGAACGAACTATGGCATTGAGATGTCATGTTAAAATTAAGAAAAATCCTGTAACTGCTATTATTGATATAGGAGCTGCAGTAAGCATCATGACGCACAAGTTAATGAAGAAACTTGGACTAGACATTGATGAACCTTCACAAATAA